ATATATATTTTCTTGTACTTCATGCAAGAGTGCTCAGGAATTTGAAAGGTAAGGGCAACAAAATGACTAGTATAAAGTACCTGGCGTAGAAATCTTACAAAGCAGCTAGTTTCCTCTTTTACTTTTCACCCCTTTCTCCCGCAGTAGTTAAGGTTGAATAAATTTACCTCTTCTCCAGAGCAAAATATAGTGTTTTCTTTGGCTTCACATTCATTATTTTTACAAGACTTTCAACAAATGCTTCAGTCAGATCTACATCATAGATAACTGGAAAAAAAAATTAATGAGAAGGTGAGAATTACAAGATTCCGTCTCAGTCTTTATGGTTTCAAACTGATATAAAAAAAAAAACTGGTGCTAAGCACTTACCATCCGCTGCCAATATAACAGACACTTCTGTCAACTTGTTCATGACTTCCTTTGACCACTCCTTGGAGAAAAAGTCCAAACCCAACACAGTAGATTTTGCTTTAACCAACCTTCTGTTCAGATCTATGTTTGCTTTAATGAGGTCCAAGAGTCCAGCTAGATCCACGTCTGCGGGTAATAATAATACAAGTTAATCCATGTTAAGTTTTCATTGTTAACTAGACCACGCGGGAGGTGAGGTCGTACCCGTGCTGACGACCTCCTTGGCGTGCATGGCCGCCACGATGCTGGTGAGCCCCGTGCCCGTGCCCAGCTCGAGCACGGTCGCGCCGCGCAGCAGGGAAGGCCCGTAGTGCAGCGCCCAGTCGGCCAGGAGCAGCGCCCCGCGCCACACCTGCAGCCCCACCATGCGCAGGCTCGTGGAGGCGCTGTGCTCTGCAAGAAGGGCGAACCTTAGGGGGAAGTCCACGCGAAATGCCGATCATTTTCAAATGGTCAAGTAAAGCCTACTGATGTGGACGACGTCTTCGCTGCCCTTGCGTTTCAGGATGAGATCCCCGTCACTGTCGTACTCGACAGCCTCCTGCTTCTGCCCCGCTTCTGCGATCGGATCCGCGGGGCGTCTAAAGTAGAACTTTGTAGTCACATCTGAAACGAAAAAAAAAGTACGAAATTTGAAGAAAGTAAGGGAAGATACCAGTGGAGGAGCGACTCTCCGACCCAACTCACATCCTTCCGATCCCGGCGGCCCCACAGTCATGCCGGAGAATATTTCGGAGGTGACCTGGTGTTCGCCCACAGCAGTCATATCTGCAGACAAATTACCAAGAAAAATAAATACAAGTCAGTTTATCGTCTGTTCAGTTGGTCAAGATAATGACGAGTGTCGAAATCAACGATGGTGTGCGATGGGTTGCCTACTGCGCCTCGGGGCGAACCTGGCAGTGAGTATCCGTACGGTAGGCAACCCAACGTACTTCCAAACGTTGTGGAAGTTTCTCTGGACAAGAAGAAATCTGAAAGAAAGGCGAAAGGCAGGAGACAGCACAGTACAGCCGTGCCGTATTGTTTCAGGAAGTAGAGCTGCAAAGAGGAAAGAGGGGGGGGGGGGCGCTCAGGGACTTCCATCATGTCACTACGCGTCCCGGTGAGACGCGTCTACGGTCGAATAAGTTACGACCAGGCGGACACGACTCGCACACCTGCACCTTTGTACCTAGCGAGCGCCACACTGTTTCCACAGCTGCCGTTATCACCATCAGACCATCGAGTCGGCCACGCCGCGGGGCCGGCGGCGGCCGAGGCGCTATGGATGTGGCAGAAAGAACCCGAGGCAGCAAAGCCGCGGGTAGTACGACATTCTGCCGATTGATAGACTCCCCACTGAAAAAGGGGGGGGGGGCATATTAATTGACCATGAGTCGGGCAAAGTAGTTCCCTATACCAAAGTCTTATTGATGATCAACCGCAACTACTGCCACCCCCAAATGCAGGGGCGACATTCTGAACCCAATATAGTCATTCCCCCAGATAGCGACGTCTGTTTTCATCGCTCAATTTAAGTGAGTGGCGTTTTAGAACAAACCGCGCAACTTGAGTCGTTATAGCGAACCTGATCGCACTGACAGCAATCACTAGAAATGCGTCGCTCGATATGGGGCAAAAAATATGACACACACAGTGCCCTCTTGATCCCCCCCCCCCGCCCCCCTTCCCACTCCCACCGATAATGACCCGCAAACCGCGGGGGGTCGGATCGCTGCAGTGTTTGTTGTGGGGTGCCCCCTTTGCCCCCCCCCCCCTGCCTGCCCTCGGGGTCAGATTCTTTTTCCTACTTATACGCGGCACCTGCGATAATATTCATGATTGACAGGCGACTCTCTCGGACGCGCCGGTATGCTGAGTGCGTTGTCGTGCACCGAGTGTGGCGCTCGCAGCGTGACGGGCCTAATCGTGTCAGTGTGACCACCTCGCCATGGAGTAACCCCTCGACAGATCACCTTACCTTATCGCACACACCGCATTCCTCTGCCTCTGTATCAGCCCGCCTTTCTCACTCTCTCACACTTTTTCCATCCTTCCTCCTCAAACTCCGCCGAGCGTCGGCTCCGCCTGTCGGCTGTTTGAACTCTGCGATCGCCGAGGGTTGTAAATAATAAAACTAGCAATAATGGGAGAGACGGAGCCTCTGTCGCCCGGTGTGGAGAGCCCGAAAAGAGAGACGGAGAGGGAAATAATAAAGAAATGGTTTCGGGAAATATTTACTTCCGTGGCGGGGCGTGGCGGGGGCGGCACTTGTCAGAGGGCTGAGCTGAGCCGGTATGGGTCAAGTGGTGTGGCGGCGGCGGGGTGGTGGCGCGGGGCGGGGTCCTGCCAGGTGGGGCGTGGTGGAGCGTGGCGGGTGGGGGACAATGGAGGGCCACAAGGGCCACAGGCCGGGCCATAAAACGAGAGTCGAACCAACCTCACCTCTGTCCTCTCTCTCCCACGGTCTCCTCAAGTCG